CGACTGGATGAGTTTCCTCGTTTTGCCGAGGCCTCCGGCCACCATGGATGTTTGGAAGCCGGTGAGATGCTCTTCATTCCACCTCGTTGCTGGCACTATCTTCAGTCTCTGTCCTGCAGTATATCGCTAAACTTTTGGTGGAGCGTCTCGCCGGACCTCATTCCGCCATGGCCACCCTCGTACACTGCCAGAAGCAAACAGCCAGCAAAATGATAACACTGGTTGATTGTAACGAATATATATTCCTTTTTTAAAACAAAGATGTTTTTTTAAAATTGCCATGTTCTCGTTTTTCTGCTCTGATGTCTGTTGCGCATTCGCCGCCGAACAGAAAGCACTACTTCTACTTTTTTTTCGCTCCATGGCATGACAGCCGATAGCCATCTGGTGTGGTCGATCAGCCGACCGTACAGTGCTTCTCCACGCGCGAAAATCCGTGGCAGCAGACCTGGACAGTTCGAACCTGGCGCTGGCGAAGTGAATGGCTCAAACTGCCCATGTCTGCTGCCACAGATCATCGCCCGTGGAGAAGCACCGTACGGGACCTCATTGAGGTCGGCTAGATCAGCCATGATCGCAGCCGCAATAAGTACAAGTATAAGCCGATCGATATGCCAGACCGCTGACTGGAGTCCTCAGTTGCGCTTGGGATCGGTTTTCCTCCCTTTAGTTCTCTGTAGGAAACCTACAGCCCTGCTCGGTTTATTAAGTTAATTACCATTGACGAAAAACTATCAGAGAACAGGGAATAATACCAGTGTTTGCTATGAAGGCCGCCGTCAGTTTAACTAGGGAACTGTGTTGAATTTCAACTGCGATCCTAATCCTCGTCGTTTTTTCGTATCAGTGTACTTTAGTTTTACACTATCGCTCTCAAGTGCAGGCATCCTGTCCTTGCTACAGTTCTGGGCGGTCAGCAAGTGGTTTCTTTGTGAGGTGGGGTTGGGGGTGGAAGGTGAGGTAAAAACGTCTCTAGAATTATTGCTGTTACCCGCCAGTTAGGTGGAAAATGACAAGAGAGCCGATTTCCGAGAAAACAACTTTATTCAAGGCTTGCAGAAACAGCGGAATTTTTAGCTCGTCAACTCTAGCTTATTTAAAGGGTTTCGGGCCGTTCTCGAAAATTGTTGCCAACGCCGTGTGGCGAACGTTCTCGCACATTCCGGCCGTGGCGTGATGTTCATTGATTGGCCGGCTCGTGCGCGTCTATCACTTCTGGGAAAATATCGACTTATCGATCTGCAGCATAGATGAGTAAAAACATCACGCACGATCGATATTGCCCTGCGCGCTAATTGGCTTTCCGGCTTAACATATCGTGACCAATTTGGCACGCGGCACGGCATATTGCTTTGCCTTTTCTGCCATAGGCCGCACCGTAAAACTTATCTAGGTCATTTTGGCATCCAGGCTCCGCATTATCTAAGTATTTTGTGAGACATCACAAGAGCTACTGGATTCGGTAACAGACTCGTCAAGAATTAAAACACTCAATATTTGCGCCCACACTGCGCACCACCATTATTAGTTTGTATGGCCATTGAAAAATCATTGCAAACTTGCTGCAAATCTTCCATTTAGATGAATTCGCGCTTGCCGCAGGAGAATACCTATGATCTGGAGCAGCAGTTCCTTTTAACCCTACCAGAAGAGGCCGCCCGGTATTTGTCCGAGGATCTCAACGTTGGTATACCCCTGAAGGTATTTCTTGTTTCCCTCCCCCACTAAAGGCTCAGCATCGTCCTCCCCCCTTCTTGCCACCCCCGTGTTCTGATGCCCCTGTTTACCACACCTTCTCCGCCTTTGTAGGACAACCTAACCATTGAAATGAAACCAGACATGCGAAACGCCATTGTGCGTTACAACGGCCAGGTCTATCGCGGTGTGTTGTTGGATCTACCCTGCATTCTGGAGTCCCTCAAGACTACCGATCGGAAGACATTCTACAAAACGGCGGATATCTCGCAAATTATGATTTGCAGCCAAAGTGAGGAGGACGGTCCGATCAGGGGTTCCGCGGCCTACCTTTCCTCCCGCTCTCAGTCTGGCAACGTCTCCGCCACAGGAGGGTAAATACACACGCACGCATATTTAAAGTATTTCGCTTTGACGGTCATGGTAACTGTGTGGGATTGCCTTTTTTCAGGTAGTTGGGCTCTCTCGACGTCGTTTCCATCCGTTCTTGTTAATTACTCTCTTCATCCTCCTTCTTCACCGTCGCTGTGGTTACAACTAGCGAGGTTAATTTGTCGAGGCGCTGACAAGTAGAGAAGAAGGCACGCCGATCCCCGAAATCATGGTTTTATTCGTCTGAGCTTTTGAACTCTTACTGGAGTCCATCGCCAGAGGTAAAAGCGCCAAAGAAAAACGAGCAACAGTTACAGGGTGCAGCGACCAATCAGCCACCAGGGACCTCAGTCCGGAGACGCCTGCGCAGAGCGATGTATGCCGGCGTCAGATCGGTAAATCGATTGACTGAGATGGGTCACGAATTTAACTTCACAGTCGCGAATATAATCGGCCACGCCGTCAGCGACACAGGCCGAGAATTGATTGAAGCCCGGGCCTCAGATGAAAACCCGGTCAATCGATTTATCGGTCTGGCGCTGGCATGCATCGCTCTGGGCAGGTACCTCCGGACTGACGTCACTGGTGGCTGATTGGCCCCTGCACACTAT